AAACGAAAAAGTGTGCTAGTCACTCCCCTGCCAGAAAACCCAGGTCATATGTTATATAGTCGTCCGGCCTTAAAAAATGTTACTTTAAATTTGGTTACTGAATTCGAAGATATTAAAGTTAACCTGAGTGCAATACCTAATCTTTCTATGCTTATTATTGAAGTCTTGTTCGGAGATGCACCGGAAGATGCCTTCGAAATATTACCAGGTCTATCGATTAAATGGCTCAAGAAACACGAGCGTCAACGTTGCAGTATTATTCATATCGGAGCATCGCCCGTTGCAACCCTCGAGGGGGTCCAAATTATTAAAAGTGACAGCATTTCTCTTTCTAAGATATTATTGCCGTATAATATACATTTGATAAGATTGATGTATAGTCTCAAAACATTTAAGCAAGACCAATTAAAGACTATTATATGATCGTAATATACACTATGAGTTTATATCCGGCGCTCGGTGAAGCATTTGAAAAGATGGAAACTGTTGATGGATTTCGATTACATCAAATAAGCGACATAAAACATCGAATAGGGAAGGATAGGGAGTTGAGACTTGGATTGTATAAAAAGTATCGCAGAGCCGTGAATGCTCTGGACGGAGTTGACACCGCTCTTGTAGTATCTGGCATGGGACTCGGTGTAGCGGGTATCGGTTTACTATCAACTATAATCGCCGCGCCTATCGTGCTCGGCATGGAAATAACCGCTGGAGTCTCGGGACTGGCAGGAATATCGATAAAATTCATTTCTCGTAGGTTACAAAAGAAAGCATTAAAACACGATAGTATTCGGATACTGGCCGAAGCAAAGTTGAACAGCATTGAGGATCATATTTCGACAGCAATGGCCGATTGTAAGATATCCGAGGAGGAGTTTCGCTTAGTGCTGTCGGAACTCACCAAATACAATGAAATGAAGCAGGAGATTCGATCAAAATCTCGTAAGACCAGTGGTATTAGCGAAGACGAGAAAAAAAAGTTCATAGAACAGGGGAGGCAACAAGCGCGTCAATTATTCCGTGCCAAAACCAAAGAACTGGTTGGAGATTAAAAATAGATTGTTTACTATCGTTTGATCACATTTAGACAAATGCTTACATAAATATATAATAATGGAGAAAGCTATTCAATGGAGAGAATTACCACAAGGTTTTTATTATATCAGTGATGTCAAACCAACCAAATACGGTTATCAATTGTTTCTTATCAATTTACAAAAAGAGTGTAGTTATATAGTCTGGTCTCCTAGTAAAATGAACGAAGAACTTAATAAAAATGTTGAATATCGCTTTATCGATAAAAATAATAATGAATATTTTTATTACCATTTAGACTCATCTAAAGCAATGATTGGCCCCAGGTATTGGTGAGCTAGAGCCAATTTAACTTAATCTCATGACTATCATTAAATCACATAATCATTTTGGCATAAAAAAATGCCACCTGTAGTAGCAGTATAGGTATATGAATCCGGCTCCAGTGGAAGTGGTCCAGAACCATCATTACCTATACTACTAAAATAGAAAATAATGATCCAGAAACCTATTGTAAAAACCTAACAGACTATATAATAAACGCAGCCAAAACCTCCATCCCCTTCAAAACATCTAAGACAGGCAAACCCACGGTACCATGGTGGAATGAGGAAATAGAACAGACTAGACGAAAACGTAAATCAGCCCTCAATAAAGCAAAACGTGACTACAAACATCTAAACATAGCCCACGAACTAAACCACCAGGTTCAAAAACTAGTCCAAAGAGCCAAAAGTAGAGACTGGAAAAAATTCTGCAAAGGTATAAATAACCGTACAGATGCCAGAACGGTCTGGCGCAAAATCCACGCCATTAGAGGCTTAAAACGACATAAAAAACAACCTAAAATTAACAACTCAACCAACCCTGCCCAAAACGCAAATAATCTTGCCAACCACTTTTCGGCCGTTAGAAGTAACACAAACTTCAGCCAAAAATTCCAAGATAAACTTAAAACAGAAAACAAACCCACAAAAGAACCAAACAATAACAATCTAGAAATTAAAGCCCAAGCAGCAATGGTGGGCTCCAAGTAACACTGTGCACAAACGTCCATGTTCGAATCCTTAAAGGGTTTCCTTGTACCAAATCAGTCAAATGTAGGCACCACTTGCAGGGTATCGCCGCTACGATATTGTCGTGTGCTGGGGTGTCCAAGTCTGTTCTAAACCCATTTCCGACCTTAAATATGTTCGAATCCTCAAAGGGATTGCTTTTACCAACTCTGTCAAAACATAGTCACCGGAAATCGCCGCACAAAATTGGCGTGTTCCAGGGGTGTCCCAAATATTAATCAAATATTACCACCAAAGGTGTTACTTTTAGCATGCAACCAAGAACAAAAGTTAATGTACATATGTCCGACTAACTTCATGTCAACTTTCAATAGTTTCGGTGGAGAACCTTACAAGATATGATCTTTAAAGTAAAATCAATATCCAATAGGACCGTCACTTAAAAAGGTATCCAAAAACGGCTAACAGAGTTTGATGTGTAATGTATGAAGACAATTCTCAGAAAGTTTGAAATCATTTCATGCAGTGGGTTGAGAGGAAATAGGATTTGAAGACAGGAACTCAAAAAAACCCTGTGAAAACCTTGAATCCAATATGGCTGCCAAACCACATGACCAATGACCACAGTCAAAGAAAAAAATGTCACGCACCCAAAGCAGCAGACACATGCAAGTTTTCAAAGTAATCAAACAAGCGGTTGCGGATCAATAAGGCGAAATATATCTTAAAAAAATACTTGTTTTTCAGTTATCTGCCCTTGGCCATTGGGTCTATGGCCTTGGGATTTTGGCGGAATCTAGTATTCAACAGTCTTCATACACATACAAAATCTGAACATAATCGAGTCAGTGGTTACTCTGCCAACTCTGGTACAAAAATCGGCGGAATAATAATAATATTAAATCGAACGATAACACTAGGGCTCTTCAGCCTTTCGGCTTGGTGACTCTTTAACAGGCTGTCACGTCTTTGTCATTTGAACTTCAGTCAAACGGATTAGCATTCTGATTCGTCGGGACCCCAGGTTTCTGTCGCATTTTTAGATAAAGTGCCGAACCTATTTACCACATGGTGGGACTGATAAGAGCCTTGTGGTTTACCTCTGCCAAGCCCTTTACGACGAAAAGAATCCCTCCTTGAGGAATGAGCGTCTCAGCATGTAATTGCCCGACCAGCTCATTGGGAGAAATTCTGAAACACATGTTTGAATTCCTTGAGTGCGTCTCATCCCAAGTGTAACTGGAGATCTTAGCATCACTGAACAAAGGAGCCAGTGTTAAAACTCAGAATTACAGTTGGAGAGCGCCAAATAACAAAGCCTGCTCGTGACAGTGATCACCACCAGGGCTACTTGAAGGTGGTACTTCATGCAGCCCTGAGGCTGCCAACCTGGTAGAAGCACTGTAAGAGGCATGGGCCCAGCGTCACTGGGACCGTCATTGTGGAGGCCATGGATGCCTGAAAATTTTAAACAGGTGTGATACTCATGACTGAGCCCGAGGTCGTAGGTCATGGAGGTGAATGAATGTCGGCAGTCACAACTACCATGGTCAACACCCCATAGAAAAGTCCAGATTCCACCCTTCCCAAAATAGGCTGGTATTATGGAGTTATTATCTTGGCTGGACTAATGTGTCTGTGCATAGTCCAATCATAATCAGGCAACGAAATTGAAATCCGGTTTGTAAACTGTTCTGCAGATTTCGGTTTAGTGCATGATTTGCAAAGCATGTGCACCGTTGTCAACAGATATTTTCGAAGACTATTCTTGTTTATGATCAAGGAGCCCACGTGATTTGATGCACTTCGCTATGTAAGATCAAAATATAGATCTTGATTATCGATCAGATCATCTTGACTGGGTGCCACCATTTTGTTTGAAACAAATGCAAGTAATACGAGACGTGGAATCTGATTTGTCCACAGGTGAGGCTTAGAAGGGACATAACTTGTAATAACCACTGGTGGCGCTACGATTGAGCCCAGGAATTCCAGCCTTGTTCGTCAAGGGTGGAAACTGGACTTTAAAGTCAGTTAACTCCCTCGCCTCAGGAAGATGATTCCAACGGATCGAACATGCAACCTTCGTATCTATAGCCCAGTGAGTTTACCAGTTAGCTACAGAGGTAATCACAATGTGTTTCAGAATGTCTTTTTCCAGTACCCGTACGCCAGCAACAGACATTTTACGGCTGTTTCCTAAGGATCAGGGAAAGAATGTTTGAAACATAAAAATGTTGATAAATGTTGTTATAAGTTTCTTTTCTCAGTTTATAAGTTAGATAAGACACTTTCCCTCAGGTTTTTATGACATTTAAAACCCTTAGCCTTGGGATAAAACCTAACGAACATTGAGATTGGGTATTATATATTGATATTTTGTTTTACAAATTCATTTTGAATTGTTGTTAATTGTTCAATAAATGTGTTGAACAGGTCTTGCTTTTTTTTCTTCCTTTGTGTGTGAATTGTTGACCTTACCTGTATTGGATTACGAAAAAAGTTAGTTAGTGAACTCATACTCTCAAATATTGGTACTAAATACTGTATGGCTAACAAATCACAGCAATTTGACATGGACACAATATTTTCTACATGGCCCACATAACTGAAGACAGGTGGGCCATAGACACACTTTGTATAAAGACTAGGATGAACACTGGTTTAACAGTAGGGACATAAAACAGTTTGAAAAAAATGATTCTGAAATATCAATTGTTGCTTCATTCATTGCAGTAAAATTTCTAATATTTGTTGTAAATTATAGCACATAAATCAAAATGTATATATTTTCACTTAGATTTTCCCTGTAGTAGATCAAAAGATATGTGTAAGTGTGGAGACATTAGTTTGTAATTTCTTTTAAAAATTTACTTTTGATATTATACATTTGACTATTAAAGGTTCAGTTATTAGTTCAGCTTGTTTCCCAGTCTCAGCAATGCTTACCTAAGATGTTGCACAACATCATCCAGCTGTAGATAGTTCAGCTTGTTTCTCATTCTCAGCATCTCTTCACCTAAGTCTTGGAATGGTATACTAAAATAAAATAAAAAGTCAAACAATTTTTGTTTTACAAAGGCCTCTGGCCAATATGTTTGTTTTTACATTGCAATATTCGAAAAATAACTCAAGTCCTATACATTAAGCTGAATAACTGGTAAGATATTTTGTAAACATAATATCAAAATAGATCAACATTTTATCACATCGACATTTTTTGTTGTTGAGAACAATATTTCAAAACTGTGCATGATGACATATTTACAAAGTAGTACCTATCATCGTATCAAGTAGGTCCAAGATGCACAAGATGAACCTCATCTTTTATTCAGTATTTGGAAACAGTCTTCTACATTCTACATTCAACATGTTTTAATCTAAGCAGACCTGACTGTAAACATGACAAGTACATAGTGAATAACTTTTTATTTTCAAACATTTTTATTTCCGTTCAAGTAATCATTTTCAGGGTGCTTTATAAGAATAATGGATGGCCAGTGAGGTAAAGCTCACATAAAATATATACATAAAAACAATAATTATCATTGTTAATAATGCTAACAATACTACCTCTATTATAGTCTGGAAGTTAATTTAAGGTACCGACGTTTACTACAATATCTGAAAAACTATTGGACCTACTCCCGTCAAAGTTGGAGTACATAACTGGATAAAAAAATCTGTCTAGTTAGCTATCACTATATTTCATCGACAACCAGACCTGTTCGTCACGGGTGGAACAAGCATTCATTGTAACAGCCATCTGCATAATGCTACCCCTGCGTCACAGGGCCATATGACACAGTTGAACCAATCAAATCAACTCGAAAGGTTGCACGGGAATCACGCACCCACGAATACAGTGTTAGCATTAGATTGTACTTCATGATGTCTCAGCGCAAGCATCTTTCCGCTGATGCGAAAGGTTTTGTTGTTAAAATATTTGAATACTTTAAGGCTGAAAGTGAAAGAGGTTTGCCCTTCTTTGACATTTCAAAGTACATGAAAAGAACAATTCATGCGTTACAGCTTCCCAAACATACTGTAGTTAAGATTTTGAACTCTCATAAAAACACAGGGGGGCATCTCAAAACAGGATAGGAAATTAAAGTTAGATTCCTTTGATAAGAAAGTTGTCAGGGACGTGATTCGGCGGATAACACGAGAAAATGATTTTATTTCAACACGAAAACTAAAACAAATTCTCCTGACATAGCATGACTTAGATATTTCCAAATGGACCATTTGTAAACTCCTTTCCAAATTTCGATATCAGTACAAAAAGACGAAAGGATTGAAACTAGCAATGTGTGAACGACCAGATATCATTCGTTTGAGTATAAATTATTTGCGCACTATAAAAAAGAAACGAGAAGAAGGCTATGAGCCTGTCTATTTGGACGAAACCTGGGTGAACGCCTGCCACACAGCGGCTTACCAGGTAATTGTCTCACCCAGATACCAGAGAGCCACAGTGCAAGATCCCCCCTGGTAAAGGGGAGCGCCTGATTGTCCTCCGTGCAGGCTCCCACAGAGGTTTCCTCCCTGGGTGTGATCTAGTGTTCAGATCCAGATCTACAGATGGCAGAGACTACCATACCGAGATGAATAGTCAAGTTTTCACTGCGTATGTTGAGGAGCAGCTCCTCTTAGCACTGCCTGATAAATCCTTGGTGGTTATGGACAATGCTCCCTATTACAGTTGTCGAGATCTTATTAACCGTTGTCCAACCTCAAATTCCACCAAAGGTGAGATATGTCAGTGGTTGGACAACAACCGCATTGCTCGGCCCACGAAAGCCAAAAGAACTGACTACTACCAACTGGTTCTTCAGAGGAAGAGTATTGGAAACAAGACTGTATCTGACCAGATACTGTCCACCCTGTTGTTGTTCATTTAGGTGACAGCACAGACTCCGAATCTGACGACGAGGGCATTTTGTGGGACCAAGAATAGTGCAATACATATACCCGTTTCACTACGACATGTAATAGCCCCAATTGCCACGGATATGAATTCTTACATATTCGTACATATTCTTAATCATTTCTTAAGAATCTTAAATAGATCTTATTTGATTCCCAAACATTCTTGTAGTTCGTGGGATTCGTGAGAAAAAAATTGTTTATCAAAGAATTTCTAGATCGTCTACGAATTTCAGGTTCGTGCTTTGTAGTACATGTCGTAATCGGATCTTGTCTACTTTGTGCAATTCTTGGCTCAGAATTTGATTCTCTTTCACCCGAAACAGCCCTGAAGGTCTTGAATCATCTGTGAAAATATTAAAATATTTTCTTCGAAACCATAAAGCAATGATTTGTCTAAATGAAAAATTATGTATGATATATTACAGCTAATAACAGGATGCATGAAATATAATAATGTGGCAAGGAATGATACATTTGTTTGTTTTGTTTGTTTGTTGTTTAACGCCACTATTATGGAATTATCATGGTTCAGTTTCGTTGAACTAAACCTTCCAAATGGCGTGCTGGTTTTCTTGGAGGAATTAGTCAGCAAAGAGCTGGAGTCACAGGAGACTAATCACAAGTTTATTTACAAGAACAATTAACAATTAACAATGAACAATTTACAATATCTTAGAATATAGCTGGGGGTGCCACAGAGAGTCGGTACAACCCTCTGGGCTGTGAGAGAGATATCTGCTTGGTTAGAGTGACAAACCCCTTCTGCCTAAAATTTTGCTTTAGACGAGCTTGTAATGGGGGCTAATCCTTAATGAGTCTAAATTGAAATAATTGCTGAATGTTATTCTAATATAGGTGATGACAGATTTACTTAAATAAAATAGTTCAAGGCAATCTATAAGACTATGTAGACATATCTTTTGTCTGGGAGATGGGATCTTGATACCTTAGGCTAGCATTTATTTAAAAGCTTCAAATCTATCAAACTATGTAGACATAACTCTTGTCTTATTGAATAGTACGTCTAGGAGATGCGCTCCCGTTACCTTAAGCTAGCATCTATCCAAAAAGCTACAACTGAAACTACTGATATTTTATATATGCATTTTACCTGATGATAAGAATTACTTGCTAAACTATAATTATATGAAATGATGTATAAATATTACACCATGATAACTCATAAAAGCACTTGATGTGGATCTAATTATTATAGGAAAACTTAGTATAAATGTTATATCATAATACCGCACTCAGCAATATCATGACGTTATTTATACCAAGCCTGAATGAGATAAAGTCAGAAAACTGTTAGCTTCAACGAAGCATTGTAAACTCGTATTAAAAAACGATCAACCAGCTGCCTATGCAATTGCTTAGCAAAATGTAGCAAAATTATAGCAAAAATAGCAAAAATATTGTAAAATTATAGCAAATATAGCAAAAAGATAGCACAAGTAGTATAGGTAATGGGGGTTCTGGACCACTTCCACTGGAGCCGGGTTCATATACCTATACTGCCACTACAGGTGGCATTTTTAATGCCAAAATGATTATGCGATTCAACGATAGTCATAAGTTGTATTAAACGAAACATCAATATTAATTAATAATGGATAAAATTTACTATAGCCCATGAGGATATTGGAAAGGTATAGGAGCAATAAAAAAATTAGCCACCGCGGCTAAGGTATCTAAAGATGTGGCCAAGGATTGGTTAAAGAAACAAGCGATGTGGCAAATATATTTACCGGCACCGCGTTATATACCGAGGAAGAAGTTTGATATTTTTACAACGAATGAAGTTCATCAGGCTGACCTCTTGTTTCTTCCCCACGATAAGGTAAAACGCAAAATGTATAAATATGCTTTAACAGTAGTAGATGTGGCTAGTCGATACAAAGAGGCTGAGCCATTAACCTCAAAAGAATCAACAGAGGTAGCTAAAGCACTGAGTCGCATATATAAACGCAGGCCACTAAAATGGCCTAAGCTATTTCAAGTAGATCCCGGTCGCGAGTTTATGGGATCGGTAACTAAACTGTTAACAAAGCAAGATGTCGAAATCGTCCGTGGTGAAAGAGAGGCCCACTGAAGTCAAGCTATCGTCGAAAGATTTAACTGGACATTAGTGGAACGTTTGTTTGGCTATCAGTATGGGATCGAAATGAAATCGGAGCAATTGAGATCAACCGAATGGGTGACACGATTATCAGCCGTTGTATCAGCGCTGAATAATGAAGTAACGAGATTAATAGGGAAGAAACCATCCGATGCTATTAAAATGAAATCCGTGACTTCCGAATCTTCAGCACCGAGGAGAGGCAAAGAACGAAAACTTCCGGATAGAGTAAGCGTAAGATATTTATACCAGCCCGGTGAACTCGAAGGAGGCCTACGTCGCGCAACCGATCCCATATGGTCTCTTAAGACGTATAACATTAGTCGATTGGTTACGAAAGAAGGAGAGCCTATTCTTTATTATCTTCAAGATGGACCGGGTAGGGCATTTGTACGAGAAGAGTTGTTCAAAGTTCCCGACGGTACGGTATTACCACCATAACCATAAGCATAGGTAGTTACACCATCATTATCAATCCATCTCTTTGTATCTAAGGGGGATAATGATGTCTTGTTCATTCTTAATCCATATATCCTATGATTGTAACTTCTTAAAGAGTTCATCTCGTGTTTGAACGTTCTACCGTTGAATAATGATTCTTTATACTGTTCGTGTTTGATATGCTTTTTTACCACATACTTCTTAACACCCTTGGCTTTTCTTATCTCTCCATTATCGGACTTCTTTATAGAATACATCTTAGCACAAGACCAAATAGCGTCCATTCCAATTTGGAATGAACGTTGGAATGCTTTGGAAAGATCGCTCATTCCAAACTTTCCAAAGCTTGGAAAGATCGATCTTTCCAGAAAATCCAAAATTGGAATGGCAACATTTCCAAACATATTTCCAACACTGGAAATGTTTGGAATGGTTTGGAATGGTTTGGAATTGTTTGGAAATATGGTTAGAAGGAACAAGTTAAAATATGTTATATCAGTAATTTGAACAATAAAAAGACTATGAATTAGGGGCTTTAGGGGCT